CACATGGCTGACCCAGCTGACATTAAAGATACACTAGGTATTGTGTTTGTTAAAGGTATTCATTAAATCAGCACAAACCATAGTAAGATGATCATTCATTAAAACATAGAAAATAAAATTGTGGTGTTTTAATGGACAGTTTACCGACATCCAATCTCATGCTTCAGTGTTTCAGATATACAAGGTGCATGGTAGATGTGTTTATTATTTATTATATTGGTATAATCAGAGTTGTAAATTCCCTTTATGCTACATACAAAACAAACGTTATATACAGAAATGATATACAGTAGATGGGTGAATATAGTAACTCATAGTACATCCTACTGTCAATGTGTGAAGAAAATGTGTGATATTGATCTTTTCCTTTTCATTTAAAATGGGTTTTCGTTGTTGTTGTTGGAAAATAGAAGAGAGTTTGGCGTAGTGAGGGGAGCCCAGAGAGGTTATATTATGTAGCCTGACGCTGACAGGTGTCGTTTATTTTCTCTGCAGCAGAAAAAAAATGGGTTTGAATAAAGGAGAATGACAAAAAAAGATGCACAGTAAATTGATGGAACAGGATATTTTTACTTTGGATTCAGTTACAAATGTTTCATTTTTATTCTTAAACTAGGACACAAACTGCAGCATGTAGTAAACTGGATTGCAGCATTGCCTGAAGTACTGTCACTGTAGATACTTGTGAAAACCCTGATTTGTCAAGTGCCGGTTTCTGGGGACTGAATTCTAATTGCTGTCTTCGCTGTCTAATAGGAGTAGAGTTCATTGTGCCAAAGACTGGCTTCTACTGTAAACTCTGCGGGCTGTTCTACACCAGCGAGGAGACTGCAAAGACCACTCACTGCCGCAGCACGGTACACTACAGGAACCTACAGGTACTCACTGCACACTGGTGACACACCCATCCTTCAGGTGATGGTGACATTGATCACAGGAGGAATAATATAATAATCTGGATTTATACATTTCCACATTTTATTCAATCTTTCCTCTGTGAATTACACGAGATGTGCTATCGCTGAGGTCTGCATGTGTGTCTAACAGTAAATCTATTTGTATGTGTTGTATGCACATATTGGCCGTCACTCCTTTTATACCAGCAAATGTAGTATCAACAGTTCAATTCTGTATGCCTGCCTATCAGTCCACAGTCAGTGTGGTCTGGGAGCAGAATTCACAAGATGACACCACCTGTTTCTTGGTGGTGAGTAATCTCTTCACACGCAAACGTTCAGCACATTCGCCTTTCTTCTTATGTACGTAGGTCTTATTTGGGGAATGAATCTTTCTTTAAATGTTTAATCAAAAATGTTGTTTTCTAAAGAGGACTGCAAAGGACAGTGAACCTTTCTGTTAGTGGACTGAGGATCCAAGAAGTGTGACCATCAGTAATATACAGTACTGTGTAAACTGTACACCTTTTATACACTTAGCATTATATTCCAAAATGCTTTTTGTTTAAATTGATTGTTGAGTTTATATTTAGTATCTAAACTCTTTTCTTGCTAGATTATAATTTGGCAATATGCGCAACAGCGCAGAATCTGCAGAAAATAATGTCAATTTTGATGATTTAGTAACTGTTTAAGCACTTTTATTAAGATTTATTAATTATTAAGATTTACATGACTTTATATTAAATGCATTTGCACTGTTTGAACAAAACAACCGATTTAAAGACATTACCTTGGGCTCTGGGAACATTTGATGGCCATTGTATTTTCTGACATTTTATGGACTATAAACATTATTTGATTAAAGAATCAACAGAAGTATAGAAGGGAATCAAAGTATAAAATGAAATGAACTAATGCAGTCAGATGGGCAAATACAAACTCGACACAGCAATATCTACTGACACATCCTTGCACACACACACAGACACACACGCACACAGACAAGCCAACATACACATTGCATGTAAACTTGCAGCTGCATTAGGTTTCTGATTATTGCCCATTCAGCACCAAGCCATCTTGCATTTCTCTCGACCCCGGCAGCGCAGCTGAGGCAGTTAGAGGAGCAGCAATTCCCTCACATTTGATGGATTACATTCCAAGAGGAAAAACAGTTTCTAACAGTTGTGCTGCCCGTCAAATCTTTGCATGCGTGTGTGTGTGTTCTGGTGTTTAATAGTTTTATATTAGTTTACTCTCCTTAGTCATCTACATAGTTTAACTTCAGCACTCAGTATGTTTTGTTGTTGTGGATTTGTTTCTAAATGTAGTACAGTATGCATTTATTTACAGATATTTATTAGGTTAATGTTGTTTTAAAACTCAATGTATCAGGTACTGCTTTGCTGTATCTGCTGTACAAAAAAAATTGAACGAGGTATTTAGAGTCAGATATTTGAGTCAATTTAAATGGATAGGATTTTATCAACATGGCATTTTGGGGCTAATGCAGCTAATAGCACATATTATAGATACAGACCTAAATTTTACAGATTATAATGTGACTTCATAATTAATTTCTAAGTAGCCCTAAATCGATCGTACAGTTACCTCCAACATGCTGTTGGTGGAAAAGACTGGTCAGATGGTTGTTTGACTAACGTGCTGATGTTGATATCAAGATGCTGCGTTCTGTCCTGATATATGTTGGATTGTATTTTTTTTCTTCATTCACAGAAATACCTTTCCCAGCTGGCAGAGGAGAGTCTGTCAGGCACACAACCATCAGCCGCACAGTGACATCAGCTTGACCTCTCACGTCTTGTTCAGCAAACAGCAGAGGATAGATTTGTGTGTGCGTGCTGTTGGTGCAAAGATGTGGACTACTACAGCATGGTAAATGTGACACGTGGAAGCTAGAGTATGCGGACGATTGCACTGGTTTTGTTATTCTGGGGGAGGGATGTTTGTATGCCTTGAATGACACTGACAACCCCAGCCATAGATGCTCTCAGTGTTACAATACAATGTACATACCTGAAGTGTAATGTATAATGAGGCTACAATATTTAATTGCAATTGTTTTCATTTATCAGTTTCCTTGCAGTTTATGTCATTAGATTTTGTGTGATAAAATGTATTTGTTGTTTATTTATTTTTTTGAAAGGGAAATGTATTAATTAAATTAAATTAGTTACGAAGACGACATGTTGTTACAGCGTGGGCTTATGGTAGTCCATCTGCTGAGTTTAAATCAATTACAATACAATTATTTATCAATAATGATACATTTACAATTGCAAAATAACTTGAAAAACGTGCCAAGGAATGTTTTTACTAAAAAACTGATGCAGATTCTCAGGTTTCAGATTTCACTGTACAGCTTAGTACACAGCATTTACATTTTTATTTATATCTGTGGTTTTAAAGGCTCTCGCTTTTTTTCTTTTACATTTTGACAGTTTGTGCACTACAATATCTGTCTGTTGGGTAAAAATGTACATTATTTGGATTGATAATGATGCAACTATGCAAAAGATCTTTATTTTCTTGAAGTTCTATGTTGGATTTAATTCATGAAACAATCACTGGTCACATTTGCCAACATATGTAATGCCTTAAATATTAAAGACCTTAGACTGGACCATGTGTTTAATTTATCAGAGTTAAACATGCAATGTTATCAAGCCAGAATTTGTTTTGTATACTGTGAATACTGATCCTGTGACATCAATGATAGTGTTGTTTTCTTTGACAAACTTTTCATATGACTTTCAATGCAAAAAAATAAACATTTTAAACATGTTTCAACAGGTATTTTGATTTTTCTCAAATGAACATTGTGTAAAATTGAACATATTGCGAATGCTATGTGGTATGTTGGTTATACAGTCATGAACACCCTAAGGCACCATACACCATCCATCCATCTATTTTCTACACCAGCTTATGGTCGGGCATGAGTGGGAGTGTTGTATAATAGCTCCCCCAAGTGTTGAGGCAAGAAACAAAGCTGGGTGCTGAAACTAATTGTGGATGTCTCAATAGATGTGTAAACTCAGTTTGTATATCTTTAGTTTTCTGTAAGAGTCCAGTTTTTTATCCAGCTTTTTTATTTTATTTTTTTTTACATTTTTTACTGTTATATATTTAATCTACTTACCCACACAGTAAGTTTACACAACATAATATTCTTAAGGTGTCCAAATGTGCTTCAATCTGTCAATTTTCATATTTCAAGTTATTGAGCAACCATTATTACCATACTTTCATTAAATGTGCACAACAATCTTGGATAATACATATAAACATAATTAGTCCTTTAACTGCAGATCAAGTCAATTTCATCCTTGTTCCATGTAAAAGTTTAAGTCTTTTTAAAACTTTCCATATTGAATCATGAATCATTTGAAAGTTTGTTTTCTAGAGCACAATGTTGGCAAGTTCATATATCATATGTGAATAAGAGATGTGTTCATATTACAAACAGTAATATTTATGCTATGTTTCTATTGCGTTAGCTAATCTTTAACAGCTGTTTCTGACATGTTTCCTGTATGCCAAGTAATTTTCCTCGCTCTTGAAGGCAGTTAGATCATTATAATGTTACACACGGTTTCTTAGGCCTTACAGCAAGACATCTTTTCAAATATCTTTAATCATTCTCATTTTATATGGTATTTTATCTGTAAATATGTAGGGGAATAAGGCTCCTTCACACATACAACTGGTATATTTATAAAAAATCCATGAATAATGTTTTTTAAAACAAAATAAATGTCTGGCCATTTGGTAAATTATCACAATAACACCATCTGCCTGACTCTTACCAATGTGCTGGAAAATGTGTGATATCCAAATCAGTACATATTTAATGAAGAAATACCTCATATTTAAAAAAATAAAAACAGTCATCAATATCATAATCATTAATGAAGTGTTGTAGCTGATGAGATAAACAGGGAAACTATAAAGAGCTGTTCTGCAGTCTCACAGATGGGGGGCAGCACTTTGGTAGACTCACTCCACAGAACGTGCGAGAACAGAGAATCCCGTGTTGTATTTTCATTGGTTCTTTCCTTTAAACCCCCACAAACCTCCAGCCAATCAGGGGAAGGAAAAACGGATCGACGCGTCTGCGTTGCTGGGTAGATATAAAACAAAAACAACAACGTTAGTGTCTGTCGGAGTTTGAAGCTTGGACACAACAGACGGTCAGTGATTTTATTGTGAGTTATTTAATCGACAGAACAAGGGAGATAGACGTGAATAGTTTACATGTCAGTGTTGGGAAGGGTTAAACAATTTTGTAGATGTTAGCTAAGAGATGTACATCAAGCTAGCGGACTCTGTGCAGTTAGATTTGATATTTTCTTGTCTCTTGGGCTTCAACAACAGATAACGTTACATGGCGAGTCAGCGATGTAAGGAGGGCTTTGCAAACTGTAACTTAAACTGCACAGTTAGACTATGTGTGACAGTTGTAATCGTCCCCTACGTGCAGTTAGGCACTCTGTAGTTTGGTCCTTTTGACGCAGCTCTCAGTTGACAGTGAACATTGAAGCTAACGTAGCGTTAGCCGTTGTTTATCAACAGTGCGACTTTGAATGAATAGGGGGAGGGGAGGCTGTTGTGTTAGCAGCATGTCTGGGCATGTTATTAACGCGTGTCTGCATATAACACTTGTGTTTCCTCTTCAACATTGCAGGTATCATTTGAAATTCGCACGCTGTTCTGCTGCACAATCTCTTTTCTATTTTAGAACATGGCAACTGACTGCGAGGCCTGGCTGAACGCAAACCCCGTCGGTAGGTGTGAGACAGTCAACGATTTAAATGCTTCATCAGCTGTGTCTGATGCAGGGCACTGGGACTTTTTCATGCGGAAGTGGTTGATTGCGTACTTTTCTTGCACTGCCTGCAGGTTTACTGATGTTGAATTTGGCATTGACTTTATTCTGCTGCTTGCCCTCCATTTGGTGGGGGACTGCAGATAAAAAATTTTTTATCAATTATAGTGTAATTCAGTCTTAAATAAAGCGTCTTTTCCTGAGTTTATTTTATTTGCACAAAGAAAAATATATGTATCAGCTCTAGTCTCCCTGATCTGTTCTGCATATAAAAGCTACTTTCTTATAGTCAGCCAACTTCAGCATTAACTCCCCATTTATCCTTGTAATCCAACAGAGGCTGAGGACCTGAGTGACTCCTTTTTATCTGGAGACGAAGACACTGGAAGATTGGCCATCTCCAACAAAAACATCAACAATGAGATCAATGGCAACTGGTTGACCACGTCTAGCAACAGCATCCATGAAGCAC